TAATTAATATTTTTTTTTTTTTTTTTTTTTTTTACTGGAGGGGTTGCTGAACACTGGAATAGGTTGCCCACAGAGGTGGTCTCTATCCTTGGAGATAGTTAAAACCTAAAAGGACATATTCCTGGGCAACCTGCTTTAGCTGACCCTGCTACAGGTGTCCATGGGACCAGACAGCATGCATCTGAGCATGCTCAGGTAGCTGGCTGACACTGTTGTGAGGCTGCTTTCTATCTAAGTTTGAATGTGCTCTCCATCTAATCTTCCCATTCTTCCCCTTTGATTGGGGAAAGTTCATGAAGTCTGGGAAAAGGTAAATACTGCACTTGCCTTCAAGAAGGGCAAGAAAGAGAGTCCAGAGAACTACAGAGACTGGTCAGCCACAGCTCATTTTCTGGGAATTTCACAAAGCAAGTCCATCTGGAATCTGTTTCTAGCCACAAGAGGGACAAGAAAGTAATGGAGAAAGGCGAGCATGAATGTATTCAGGGTAAATCATACCTAAGTAATCCAGTTGTCTTGACAATGAGACGACTGCCTATGTGAAGAAGGGTGAAACAGTGGATGATACTTACCTTAGCTTTAGTAAAACCTTTGGCATAGTTTCCCATAGTATCCTTGTGTTCAGAATGATTAGATGTAGACTGAGTACATGGACAGTAGAGGTAGTGGAAGATTGGTTGGAAAGCTGGGCCTAAAGCCTGATCATCAGCAGTACAAAATCCAACTGGCGACTAGTTCTTCAGGCACCAATACCAGGACCAATGCTATTCATCACCTTTATTAACAACTTGACTGATGGGAGGGCCTATACTCTCAGCAAGTTTGGGAATGGTACCACATTAGGAGGAGTGATTGATATGCTGAAAGGGAGTCCAGAGAAATGAGCTGATGGGAGCATTGTCCCTGGCCAGTAGGCTGGGGAGCATCTCTGCTGCAAAAGCCCTGGGGTCCCAGTGGGCAGCAAGGGAGGATGTGTCAGCTGGGGACCTTGCAGCTGACCTGTGACCTGGGCTGTCCTCACCAGGGTGCAGGCCGTTAGTCTGGGAAAATGGTGTTTCACCTCTCATCAGTACTTATGAGATCACATGGGGACATAGCACATAATTTTGGATTCCCCAGTACAAGACAGACATGGATGTACAGGAGTAGAGCAGAATACTGCTAAGGTTAGGGACACTGGAACGTGTGATATGTGGGATAAGACTGAGAACTGGATTTGTTCAGGCCAAAGAAAAGGTGGCATAGAGGAGTTAATACTATGATCTACATCTCCCTGCTGGGCTGGACTCTCTCAGAGATTGACAGTGGAGGACAAGAGGCAACAGACATGATACGGCATATGGATCTGAGCTCTAGGAGAGAGGCCCACAGAGGTTGTCAAACCTCCGTCCTTAAGGGTGTTTAAACCTGGAATGGGTGTGGTTCCCAGCAGTCTGCTGGGATTTAAGGAGGAGGTTGGATTTAGACAACCTCTGGAGATCCCTTCCAGATCCTAGAGGCTTATAGGATTCTGTCACTGTGTAAAAGCAGTAGGGTAGTAGCTCTCGCACAGTAAAACTGACCATTAGAAATTTGTTTCTCTTCTGTCTATAGAAGTGACTTATTAATACATGCATTTGTGTTTTCTTGGAAGAGTATCAGAATGTTCTGGATGACTAGAGGCTATAATCTCTGGAACTGCTGTATGCTTTTAGCTACTGTTGTAATTTTCTGTGAATAAAATACAGTAGTGCATCTCTTATGTAGATGACATGAAAATGCTGGACACTAAAAATCTCAGGCTTCCTCTTGCAGTTCTTTGGCTTTTTTCTGAAAAACAAAATACTATCTCTTTCCTAGATTGGTAAATCAGAGACTTCTAGAAGTGCAGTCCCAGGTTGAAGAACTACAAAAATCTTTGCAGGATCAAGGTTCAAAAGCTGAGGATGTAAGTAGTAATGTACATCAAACTTACATTCAAGTAGTTACCATTTTCGAAACTTTCAATTTTTTGTAAAAAAAATATTAAAAAAATATGGAAATGGAGATTTCTGATAGTTTTACATATTTACTAGTATGGTCTTATCACTAAATTGTGCTTCTCTATATAGGATGTAAGGTGTAGTAAGACATTTGTCTAGAAGAGAAAACCATACTGTGTAGATAAGGTATCAAATATATTTTATTTGATTAATTGTGTCTGTTCTAATATTAAACTTAGTGTTAAAATTATTTAATTAGAATTGAGAGTTTTCCAGGTAATTAAGGAAATGTTAATCCTACATGTCTTAATAAAGTACCTGAAGTTACTTTTGGTTTAGTTTTCTTAAGTTTCTTAGTTTTCTTAAGGCCTTTCCTGCCAGTGGAGGCTGTGTAATTGTGGATGTAAATGTATGTTGCAATTCAAGAAGCCAGACAGGCCAAAACTAAAAAAAAAAAGTAAGTCAAAAATGAGGCCCTTAATATAATGTGGCATTTTCTGTTTCTGTATACAGAGTTAACTTTATTTTTAATGTAAGAATACACATTGTGGCAGAGTTAGTGTGGAAAACAACTTTCAGTCTTCCACTAAAAAATTGTTTGCCATCTCCTGTATTTGAGAGAAGAAGCTCCAGAAATTTCTTGAAAGCAGTGATTTGCTGGACTGTACATGCACAGTGTATGCTCACAATCTCTGTGTATTGTGTTGCTGATTGGCAACAAGTTGTAATGTGTTGCTTTCCATTTTTGTGGTTTTGTTTTAACTAATTTATATAAAGCAGTGAAAGTTTTTACTAGCAGCTTATTTTCATTTAAGAGTGTGTTTAATTTAGCTTATCCTTCTAACTTTCAGAATAAACTGTGTGAAAGTAAAACACCTAGTTGAGTTCAAATAAGATTATTTTCCTAAGTAACTTCGAATGCATTTTAGAATAGGTCTATAATATTATGTGATTCTGAGATATTCTTTGTTGTCTTGGTTATTGGCCGAAATCAGATTTTTCAGGGTGAACAAGAATATGAAGAAATTACTCTCAGATACTGAGTATTGTAAGTGATCACTGTCTAATTTATTGCAATTCTAATTGTGTCCCTTGCTGAGGCTTTGGTCTGGATAGTAATCTAGGACGTGTCTGCAGCTTGCTCACAGGACTGGTTGCAGCCGACGTAGGCATCATCCAAGATGGTTTTTTTTAACAGCAAAATGGCACCATCACAACACTGTGCTACAGCCTGCTGTGTCTACCAGGCAGCCCTTGTCAAATCAGAGCTGGCAAGCTCATGATGCAGTTGCTGCATTCCTGGCTTCTGTGTCGGTCTGACCATGCCAGTGGTGGTTTATAGGCACTAATCCCATGGCCTCTTTTGCTGAGTTTGGTATGTAGGTTTTCATTTACTCTTAAAGAAGCAAAAGAGAGAGTGTAGCCTCGGAGAAGTATTGAGGCGGCAAGAACCTCTGAAAGTATGGACACCTCATCCAATCTCCCACACAAAGCAGAGCAAACCTCAAAGTTAAACCCAGTGGTTCAAGTAGGTGGAATTTGTGCTGGGACCACCTGAGTTATCCTTAAGATATCCTTACACAAAGAGTGATTCTTCAGAAGCATGAGAAAAAGGATAAGGAGACACGTGGCATACACTTCACTGATGCATCATTTTCAGCATGTTTCTTTTGTTTTTCACTACTTTTCTGCAACAATGCACTGAAATCCACATTTTTGTTTACTTATACTGTAAATATGCTCAACCCAGAAAACTGAAGATCCTGTTTGTATTCAGTCCAGAAATACATGATGAGGGCTTGGGTGTTTGGGGTTTTTTTTGGGGGGGGGGGGTTGTTTGGTTTTGTTTTGTTTTTTTTTAAAGTTTTGCTTGTTTTCAAAGTTGAAGTAATTTTTAGGCTTGCCCAAAAGGTAGTAAAAGCACTATTCTAACCCAGGCAAGTATCATTACAATAATACATGCTGCTGGCCAAGGTCCACATGGGGAAGCAGTTTTGATTTTGTATTGAAGTGCAGTGGAATGCGGATGTTAGGAAGGTAACAGTGCCGTTAGGCCTGTAATGGGCACTGACACGTCCTCTTGGGATGCGTGATTAGTCCATCCTGGCTGTTGCCTTGCTAGCCAGGGAAAGGCCTCCTTACCTCAGTCTTCCAGACTACAGAATCAACTCAGACATGCCTAGTGTGGTCAGAATAGCAGGTTTGATTTATTGTCCTCCAGAATAAAGTGATCATGTGTAGGGCTGCTTGACAGGTACCCTGAACAGCTTTGACTACACCATTTGCATGCATGCCTTATTATCACTCTCTTTGGTCATCCTTGTTTTCCCTTTATCTGCCCTAATCCCTTTCTATGTAAACAACCTTATTTGCTTCTGCCCCACTGGACCTAGTCTTGCTAAATTGGTATCATGTCTGGTGTTTCTCATATTGTTACATACTCAGTCTTGGCCATATATGCTGTTACTGATGCAGTTACTAAGTCCTCCAGACCTGGCACTTCCCTAAAAGGTCCCCAAAACTCTTGTTACCTGTTCAGTTATCTGTGAAGTTCAATCACTTTTCTCATTTGGTGAAACACGGGAACGGGTTGCCCAGAGAGGCAGTAGATGCCCCATCCCTGGAAACATTCAAGGTCAGGTTGGATGGGGCTCTGAGCAACCTGATCCAGTTGAAAATGTCCCTGTTCATTTCAGGGGGGTTGGACTAGGTGACCTTTAAAAGTCCCTTCCAACCCAAACCATTCTATGATTACTCTCAGCATCTGTGAAATCTGACCATCCCTCATGGTGCTGTTTATAACTTTCGTCGTCTTCTCACAGCGTTAGCAGTCTGATTAAGCAATTCTCTCAAGTAATGTGCCATAATTTCCCTAGGTCTGCTAAATTAGCTTCACCTCAAGCTAGAGCCTAACCATCTGCCTGTGGCCTTAGCACACAGAACAAAACCAAACGTTGCCCTCAAAAAGGGGACAGACCTGTTCCTTTGGCTTGTTTAAGCATGAAGGACATTTCCAGAAAAAAGACTTTATTTCTGTAGTTTTTTTGATGTAAAAGAAAGACAGCAATTAAGTAGTGGGGAGGATACCTGTTTTCTAAAACCATACTATAATAAGTATTTTTTTCTGGTGTTTTTTGAGTGGAACTTACTAGCAGTGGGAGGAAAAAGCAAAACAGCGAGTGTGCATTTGCTGATTTTTACAGTTTTGTTATAGAAGTGCTCTTCTATTATGAACAGATAAAACATATGAATGAAGTTAATATAAAACTAGCTCAAAATTAGATAAAGCATTTTTTTAACTGGGATTTTTTTCATGAGACTAGTCTTCCTATAAGAGAACAACAATTATAGTAATTACTTGTTAGGAGCAGAGGATTTGGATATGTGGCTTTGAAGCTGACTGAGACTGCAAAAAAAAAAAGTAATGGTTGCCCACTTTTAGAGTAAGTTATTTGAATTTATCTGCCTTGCTACAGGTATATACAGGATCTCTGGGTGGCTAAAACCACACATTTTACCTTTTATTCTTTTTCCTGATCTTGTGGCTTGGGTAAATTACTCTGGGTAAACTCCGTCCTGCTTCTTTTAATTGTGTGTGCTGTTTATCATTGTCTGTTTCTTGCTTGTGAGAACATATGATCAGTCTAGATGGGAGAGGGGTTACTCCTACAACAATGCTGGTACTATGCAAATAATATATATGAAAATATACCAATGGAATCAACGTTGACAAGTAGTTGTGTCTGTTCCAAGCTAAAACCAAGTGTATTACACAGAACACAAAAGAAAAGCTGAGTTCCATTTTTATTTTCTTACCTTAGGAAAATGCTGCCAACTTCTCCCTTTCTTGTCCAAACCAACCATTAGTTACCTAAATGATCAGAGATACGTGATGGTGCCAGTTCAAATGCTTTGTGACCAAGAAAGACGCATACAAACATTTATTGTTGCAGGAAAGATGGTGTTGCTGCCATTGTTCAGAGGGCTGGAAAAGAAAAAACCCAAATGGTCAAAACCTGCAGATCCTTAGCTGCTACAAATTTATGACTCTGAAGTCCGTAGAGTCAAGCTCACTTGTTTTTATAGTGTGATAAAGCTGTCCACTTTGAAATAATGAAAAAGCATAACCCAGGAATGTGATCAAAGACAGTATTTTGAAGTATTTACACTATAACAAAGCTGTAAGATTTTTGGGTGCACAAGGTCTTTGTTGGCCAGGTGTCTAAACCTTTGTTGAAAGACCATTGCAGAAAAAGTAATGAAGTAATTTTGTTAATGATTTTATCTTCTATTTTAATAGCATTCTGGACCATCAGTCACATGCTAAACCTCCAATGTGATTGGTACTGCATAAATACAAACCAAAAAAGCATTTTCTGATTTGAATATTCTATGTTTTTCTTGTATTCAATCAGTGCGGCAGTAACACAATTCAGAATCACTCCACAAAAGCACTTGCAACTCTTAATTTTGATTGTGGCCTAATAGACCACATATTTTCTTCTGTTTTGTTACTTGTATGATTTTTGTTTTAAAATGACTTTCCAAAATAGCAGTTGCTCTCCTTTGAAATTCTGGTTTGAACACAATGATTTACAAATATGCTTCTTTACTATTTTTGTATTTTTGGTTTTAGTGATATGTTTTAGAAAATGTTACAGGATGAAACTGCTGATGAGAACAGAGGAGAAAAATGCGCATGTGTGAAAAAATGCATAGCTATAACTTTTTCTGTTCATGACTTTCTAAATAGTTTCTTCTGTTGGCTGCTGTTTTGCTTTATACTAATGTCATCTCTGTTTCTTGGCATGGGCTTCTGCTCAAGGCTATTGTGAGTATGGCTTTCTATTTACTTAACACTACTTTCAGTTTATAGACATTTATTGGGTTTATTTTTTTTTGACTCACTGTGTATGAAGTGAGTTTAAAATTAAAATAAAATTTACTTTGAAGCTTTTATTCAAAGAGCTTATCTAAATGTGATTTAACCAGAAAGTGGAACACTGTAAGTTGTATGATAATTTTTACGTGTCTGTAATCAGTAATAATGAGAAACAGAAAACGGGTAAAATTTCTTCCGTGCTCCAGTCAGAAACACTCTACTCCCTCTAGTTTCTATGGGGACAGGAATTTGCTTCAACTAATTTGCTACATGTCTTCATGCACATTGCATTGCAGCATTGGTAGGACAGCTCTTCTAGCAAATTCTGCTGCACTTTACAGTTTCAAGTTAATTTATTAAGTCTAATTAAAAAAATACTGAAGAAATAAAAACAACTGCCATAGAATTTTGTTGTTTATGGATCTTGCTTTTATTGATCTAGTTCTGGGAAAATATTTGTAAAGTTACAAAGCACTCCAATTTCAGGAAAGTCACACAGCTGTGGAGAGAAGGATTGCTACCACAGAGGATGGTTTTACAGCTGTGATCTAAAACTGAGTGAAGTAAAAAGTTGGATTTTGGTTAGAATGTCAAAATTACATGTTTTAAAATAATTTTGAAATTATATTACAGCTCTACAATATATTAAAATAAAATGTTTACCTTTCTATTTTAGTCAATTCTTCTGAAAAAGAAACTTGAAGAACATCTGTAAGTATTTTGTTTGCCTGTTTTATTTGCCATTTGAAATTAGGTGTTTTCCATGTGGTAAGGAAGGCAGGCAGTCATTAATCATGCATCTGGAAATTTCATGTACATCTGAGAGAAATTAGACAACACAGGAATGTTTGGGAGTCTGCTGTTCAGATACTATTTTCATCTCATAGAAAACCTTTGTTAATGCAGTAAGAGTCATGAAGGAACCATCATGTTGTCGTGGTTAGAAAACTTTGCTTAACACTGTGTAAATCTTTACTCGAGAAGTAAGTAATTTTGTTCTGAGGAAAGCATGTTAATATAAACAAAACTAATTTGTTTACTTTTTCGTATATATTATGGCATAAAAGGCAACATTTTAGAAAGTGTTATAATTTTGTTCTGCTATTTGTGTACCTCTTCTACTTCTCTAAAATGCAGAGCTGTTTGCATTTTGAGTGGCTTGCAAAAAAAAAGTAGTTTCTGTTGCCTTTGGGTTTTAGCCATTCTTTCTCACTGTAATCTCAAGTACAAGTATTCATTTTAGGCATGCATTGTACAACTAACTAAGTTCTAAATTAAGTTTATAATTACTGAGAATGAAGCTGCTTGTTGTTACGGTTCTCCATATACCATAATGTTTTTCAGCTTATTTAACAAAAGTTTCCACTGTGATGTTATCATTTGTCCTCGTGCCCCACAGCAAAAAGCAATTGTGCTCTCCGAAATATATCACTATCTGAGGACTTTTTGTATCCCTGAATGTTCATTCAAGCACAGTAATAAAGTTGGGAAAACAATATGTCCTCTTTTATGGTTTGTAACAGTGAGAAGCTCCATGAAGCTAACAATGAGCTACAGAAGAAACGAGCTATTATTGAGGATTTGGAACCAAGATGCAATAACAGTTGTGAGTTACCAATGTGCAGTCCATTTCTTTTCTTTGTAAAGTATTTCATGTGCAAGGTCTTTAATTATAATACCTATAGGAGATGCAGGATGAACAAAATTTACATTTTAAATTGCAGTGATACGTACGCTGTTAATTTCTGTGGAAGCTATGGTGACAAAAAGATGCTTCTAACACTTGAAATGCAGGGAATCACATTTTAGAGACCACCGTAGTAAGAAATTACAATGGCCGTAGAAATAGCAAGTCACTGTCAGACTTGTCATTGAACCTCAGCCTTTCAGAACTGTTATGTCTCCGAAGACCCCGATTTAGGAGATCCTTGCTGCCATCACCTATATATATTCCTTCAGCGTGTTTTCAGAACTATGTTATAATTTGAGAAGAGTTTTGGACACTGGTCAAAGAGAATGTAGGCTATATGTCATATTGCTCAGGTGGTGTCCAGAACCCAGCATCCAGTTGTTTTTTAATTAATGCTACTTTTTTCCTGAGCATTATTGAAGGAGGTAGATTGTTTTTTTTTCAAGCCTACTTATTATAGAACAAGGCAAAAGATTGCAACAAATGGCAGCTTTTTTGGTTTCTGCCGAAGTGATTTTATTCATAAGGAGATCGAGGAATATAGAAGTATCAGTTCAGTATTCATTACATTCTGTATGCAAAAAGAATTTTTGTTTGTTTTGAGCTAAAACTGCAGAATATGTTAAAATTCCACATCTTAGGAAATGTTAGAACACTTGGAAATGAGGTCCAGGGACTTCATGAGTAGCTGATAAGCACATAATCCTGTCATACTTGGTAAGCTTCAGCGTGAGCGTAATAGCAGTCTTCTGACTCGCCAGCTTCTAAACATGAGGGCATGTTGAGGGTTCTGTAGTTAGTTTACTGAAATTACAAGTTGCTTTTTAAAAATCTAGGTCTGAACTTCTGTCTTGGTAAAATAAAAAGTCATACCTTCTTTCTTTCCATGCTCAGGAAATGTGTGTGAATTATTTTTTCAGATTCTTTTAACTATCCTGGCTATGGCCAAAATGCTTGGGCATTGTACAGGAATCATGGCACATGTTAAAATGGATTCTTGCAATCTTGGAGACCATCTGCTGTTGGTCTTACTGATCAATGAAAATTTTACTTGGCCCTGTTACTGGCTTAGTGTTTTCCAAGTGCTTAGAGAGAAAACTGCAGAAAAAACATGAAAGAACATTTCAAAATGAGGCTGCAAAACAAATGGACTCAGGGTTGCCAATTATCTAACGTTGTCTGAGAACCAGACACCAATGTTATATGCGACTTGGTCCAGGATGATGCAATTGATTATTTTTCTTTTCTGAGATCTGAGAAGCTGTGTAGAAGAAGTATAAGCAACAGCGGCTTGACATTCTTATATCAGCACAGGAAAAGGCTGTGCAATGAAATTGTCCTACTGGTCTGCATTGCTGCTTAAGAAAACATGGGGGGGAAATTAAATTGAGTATATTTGTATCACGTGACAAGTCTGGTAAATTGTGTCCAGTGCTACAGTTTATCAGATTGGAGCAAGTGTTGTCCCTATTAAGAGTTATTCCTCTTACATAAAATAGGATAACTATTCTTTATCTGAGTTACAATACCAAGGTATTATGGAATCTGTAATTCATTAGTAAACTCATTGTTTGCATACATACATAAACTAAGCGTGTTTAGTAATGGGATTGATTTCAGATTCCATTTCTCTTTATTTTTTTGTAATTTTAAAAAAAAGCAAGATTTGTCTGCAAAACAGCCATCTCATGAGATTATATAGGAGTACACATTTCTAACGTGTTTCTGAGCTGTCCTGTAATTAAAACTATGGTATCTGCTACATCAGGTTTCTTATGTTAGCTTTTATTAACTTAAGTATATTCTAGCTGTGCCTTAAATGTCTGTTGAAAAACATTGAAGTAAAGATAATCATGTTATTTTCCAATGTGTGCATATCCTGACATAAAGCACTGAAAATTGAAGAATTACAAGAAGCTTTACGGAAAAAGGAGGAGGAAATGAAGCAAATGGAAGAACGATACAAAAAGTATTTGGAAAAGGCGAAAAGTGTAAGTATGTGTGTTCCATGGTAATGATCCCTCTCTGACAGACTGTGCTGCATGCAGGAACAAAAATAAAGGAGCTATTTGTATACACACTAGTAAGTAAAAGAGAAGGAAGGCCCAGTGAGTTCTCTGTATCTTCTTACTGTAACAGTACCTAATACTGATCAATTCTGCAGATTTTAGCCTGGTTTTGTGTTCATGGCTGTCCCCTTTTGCTACCTATACATAAGCCCTTCTGATGCCTCTGTATAAATGTATTTCCACTGCTACAGATTTTTGAGAATCATCCAGGCAAACCTTGATAAGCACGCTTTCATGTTGGCTGATGACCAGGAGAGGGTGTTAAACCCTTTCTAATGCTGCGATAACCTATTTCTTTGCAGAAATTCTCCTAGACTTCTGTCTCTGAGTGGCAAATGTATAGATCAGCTAAAGCAGGGTCCGTATTAGGGCTGGTGGTAGAGAAGTGACTGAAATAGCTGTGATGTATTTTAGAATTAGAAAATCACCCATCTAAACCAACTCCAGGGAAGGAAGCTCTGAGAGCAAAAATACTCTTTAATTGTCATTTGTGCTAGGACTTCTGGCACAGTTGTCATGAAGAGTTCTACCTCTTTGTACACACAAATATAGCTTAGTAACACCAAGTACACACACAGTTGGACCAACAAACTCTGGTTTTATCAGTTTGGCGGAGAGGGAAAAGGAAATTTGGGGTTCTTAGCTTCGCAGGTGGCTGGATCTGTTTATGTGTGTTTCTGGATGGTGTAGGCTTCTTGTGGTGCTCAGTCAGTAATGACTCTCATACCTGGAGCAGATAATTTTATATACTTTTTTCTAAATCTAGCTTTTAGCTACTTCACATTTCATCAGGTCCTAATTGCTCACATGGATTGCTTATTTTTGAGGGGCTCAGAATGTACAGGCAGAGGTAATTACATATGTGCCAGAGCCATCTTTACCGATTTAAATTTGGTTTTGCTTTCTTATTTCATCTTTTGCCCCTGATTTCTATTCATGTTCTGGTTTAGCTAACTGGTTTAGAAGCTGTTTTAATATGGACTCTCTTAATGATGCTTTTTGCAAGTAAAGTGATCTTTTTAACTGAACCACCTTTGAGAGCTGTTACATTTCTCTGATGACATTCAGCATTCTCTTCTTAAACCTCTACTACTTAATACATGCTTCTGTTGAGGAGTTAGCAAAGTCACGAATTCCTTTTTCAGTAAGATTTGTTTATTTGTACATACTGTGTCACTATAGGGTGTTCTATACAACAGTAGCATTAATTATTTTAGGTTAACTTTTTGTGATCTTATGAACTTCCTTTTTTTCCCCTTTTTTTTTTCCTTTTTTTTTTTTTTTGGTGAAGATAAGTACAGTCATTATAACTGTCCACTATAGAAACTGTATAGGTCTAATATGTATTTTCTTAGGAACATAGTATGCTTTTATGGATCTTCCTTCATGAGTACCATTCAGTAAAAATGACTTACTAAAATTTAAGCACTGTTTTATTTCAGCATCTGATTCTGAAATGGTTAGAAAGAAAAGATGTGAAGTCTTTTTCTATATACCCAGATGTTGTTAATAAATTTTAAGCTATTTTCTATTAAAGGCTTAGGGATCTAGGCATTTTGCTGGATTTGTTCTTGATTTAGCTCTGTGTTTGCTAGCACTGATGCTACCTGTGATGGATGCCACATACGAACATAACCAGGTGTCCCTTCATCTTATTAGCAACATAATGATCATGCATGTGCCACAGAATGCTTCTTGGCTTAACAGGGCTGTCTAGAAATGACAGCACTTGGTACCCCAGCTGGGTGAATCGTGGCATCTTTCCAAAGCAGTCCTTAAGTAGGAGGAATTGACAGGTAGGTAAACCTTAGCTATAAGGAGAGAAGCCTTTGAGAAAATGTTTCTACTGGTGTGGCCCCTAGGTGGTGCAGCTAGGAGTAGGAACTGCACATGTGAGTCTGGGATACTGAACGCCTCTGGTGTCATTTTTTCCTATTGGTAGGTTTGTTTCACAGTCCTGTAAAAGAGAGACCAGTTCAGATGCTCTAACATATTATGGCTGATATTAAGAGGCAGAGCCTCTGTCATGCTGGCTGTCAAGATTGTTTTACAGGAGTCAGCATCTTAAAACTGCTTATCATCTCTGTGTTTCACATTTTGGAGCATCATTTCTTACCACTGATGTGTTTTGTGTCACTTTTTTATTTCTTAGGCTGACTTAAAAGGTTGTAATTCCTTGATGTTTTTCCCTTCAATTAGATTGCTTTTGCAGGATTTAATTAAAAACACTGTTTCTCTCTTACAGGTTATCCGCACCCTAGATCCTAAGCAGAACCAGGGTGCAGCTCCTGAGATTCAGGCTCTGAAAAATCAGTTGCAGGAGCGTGACAGAATGTTTCATTCACTGGAGGTAGTAATCCACATGTTTCCTGGTAGATGCACATTTCCTTACTGTTTTTTAGGTATAGACTAATACTTGTATTATACTATGGTTTTAAATGTATGCTTTTTTGATGTTTGTTTTACAGAAGGAATACGAAAAAACGAAAAGTCAAAGAGAAATGGAAGAGAAATTTATTGTTAGTGCCTGGTACAATATGGTAAGAATCTTCCAAACTTGTAACAGTATTCATTCATTTACAGTTTTTTTTTGTTTGTTTGAAAAGCATTTTCCAACACACAGACACAGAAACAGGTACTTTTTAATGATTTCAAGCTATCACTATATAAGAGTATGTTCCTACGATAACTTTGGGGGAAATGAAGAAGAATGTGTTTGTTATTTTCAAGTTTTAAATCCAGAAATGGCACTTTCTAGAGGGAAGGATGCTTCAGATTACGATTTTGTAATCCAAGCCCTTCAGTTATACTGACTTAGAGTGTCCAGATTTGCTTTCTTCTTTGATTCTCCACTCTTCAATCTTCTGTTTTTTTCTAATGAAGGAGCACAAGAAAAGCAGTACTTGCTGCAGTAAGTACTCTGAGAAACAACCCCTCTAACTTGGGTGCAAGCTTAGCCCCGTGCAAAGGGTGAGCACAGGAGCAATGCCCTCACTTAAATTATTCAAGCCATAAGGAAGTGATCTATGCAGTCATACAGTTTTTGCTGAGCCTGTATGCTGGGAGAATTTTCACCTTCGTCAAATGTGTTCAAGGTTTCTCTTTGGCAGAGTGTGGCTGCATTGAAACTGCTCTTCAGATAGAAAGAATCCCTGGCCTGTGTAACATTCATGTTTCATTCTGCTTCATCACAGAGTTCAAATTTCTCCTCTCTTGTCTTCCCTTGTAAGAGTTTCCTTCTTGCTCTTCTATGTTCTTGTTATGTCCATGAATAGTAAGCTAAAAATGGTACTTACGCAGAGTGTTTCAATCCTCTAAAGACTGAAGGCTTTTTCAAGTGACTAGTGTCTTTGACCATCTTGTAACATTAGTCCCACTGATAAGCAGAAGACAAGCCTGAGCTAAGAGCTGCGGTTCAATAGCCTGTCATAAACACTAAGATGAGCACTGATAGCTTGGTCTGTGCCTTTCTCTAATTAGCCTCTGCTTTTATATGCAACTAC